TTGAATACTCAAGCTTAGATCAAAGTCTGGTGGTGAGTTCCGCAATATTGTGTTTCATAATTCTATAAATTCTATACGTAGCATAACAGATAATCATATGGTAGACAAATGTAAATAAATTTCCGAATTACTTTTTAAGAACGTAATGTTTCACTAACGGAAATACTACCAGTGTGTGAGAAGAGCGTCAACATTCATTATGCAAAAATAATCCAAAATAATTCAAAACCTGGTGAACTGCACTTAGAAGCAAGTATTTTACTATTCATTGCTGTACTAGATATTGTTGTTAGGCGAAACTATTCTTGTAAATAGCGAAAGTCGAAACTGGTGAAACTTTGGCGTAATGTCGAAACTCCAGCGAAATATCGAAACACTGGCGAAACCTCCAGTAAAGCTAAAACCCTAGAGAAAGTCAAACACAACGAAGATCAAATTCTCTAAGACTTTAGAAAGACTAAGCCATGTTGGTAAATCAAAATATTTTGTGTGTGACTATTAAGCATTATTTATGGGAAATTCTATTTTAACTCGGGTCAAAAAGAAAGAATTGTAACTTATAATAATAATAAAATTTAGATTACTGATCAAAAAGCATTATATATAACAGTATAATTATGTTTTATTCTTGCCTCTTTTACTAATTTTTTCATCCTTTACTAATTTTATTACCTTTCTAGTTTCACCACCTTTTAGTAGTTTCGCCAGTTTCGCCATTTCGGCATTTTAAATTTTTTTTTTTTGGTGAAACCTCTAGGTTTCCCCTAACAATACTAGTACTAGCTGTATATAAGCATTTGAAATGGTCAACCAAAAAAAATTGAAGAGAACAATTAAGACATAAGTTTTAATATAGGGCCCTTTATAGCTGTCTAATTTATTGTATTAAGAATGATCTTAATACTTTTTATACCTCAAATTTTCGATTTTATAGGAATTAGTTCATTGAATCTAGGCTTTTTAGTATATATTGATTTAAGTATTTATTATACCCGGTACTCAGTTTTGGGCTCAATATTAGATTAGCATTTCTGATTGCAATAATTAACCATTTGTTTTCGTAATGTTTTTAAGTATAAATTAAAACTTTGATTTATATCTTGTAGATTTCTTAATGAGTTCGGGTTTATTAATAGTAAATATATTTATCTTGCCGTTTACATTTGTTATAAATTATTTGATGTATATTTATTAATTTATATGTTTTTTTATATAAAGTATTGCTGTATTAGAAACAATAAATTTTTTAGTTTTAAGATTGTCTGCTATGCTGAATTTTATTTTTTGATATCGACCAATCATATTTGTGATGATCCTTCCTATGATCACATGATAGGGGCATGCCCAGGGACCCCGTGCCACCTACCCTAGCCAAAAGGCATGCCCCAGGGGCATGCCCAGGGACCCCGTGCCACCTACCCTAGTCTTTACAGGCATTTAAATTGCGGATTGCATTATCTTACGAAAATAATTTTGTAGGTTTTAGGATTTGTGCTACATAGATTTTACATAAAAACTTCTTTCGGCTGCACAATTAACAAAAGTCTGGTACGAAACCAGCAACGTATAGTATAAATTCAATGACAATCCCTCGGACGAAGAAATAAATAGGTTTTTAAGTTATAAATGATATAGAATGGCTGAAATTGAGACTAATAAAGCTTTAAGTATCTTAAAGGCAGATAAGAAAACGTTAAAGAATAATAGCTTTTCTCTAATTTGGTGTATTCCCGATCAATTTTATCATTCCATACAAGATATTAAAAATGAAATTGAAAGCAAGGGTTTTTCTCTCATAAAAACTTGGGATTCGGATATTATGACGCTTAAGACTATCTCTCAAGCTCTAGGGATAATTCAATCTCATATTCGTTCTGATTATGATGGTATTGTCAGTGAATTAGATTCGAAATATTCTAGCTGGAAAAATTTTAAGGAAGAGTATCAAGGTATATCAAAAGAAGTGGCTATCTCCCCTCATACAGATGGAGCATTTCTTGAAGGTATGTTTGCAGCCAAAACTACGATGATAAAAATATCCCCCCCTAAAATGCTTTTGCTCCAACCCATTGAATATGATGCTAATGGTGGTGAAATCATACTTGTTGACGGCAAGAGAGTACTGGAATCAATCTTGGAAAAAAGACCAAAATTAGCAGAGATATTAATGAAGCCTGGATGTATAGCTTTTTGCAGAGATGACCATATGTCTATGAATTACCCCGTCTATGAGCACATGCAAGATGATAGCATTCGCATTCATTTTCGATATGATCAGACAACATTTGCTCCATATTGGTCCTATGAAGCTGTAAAATTCCTTCATAACAATTATCATATGAATCCAAAATACCAAATTAAAATACACCTTAAAGAAAAGGAACATATCTTAATAGTGGATAATCATAGAATGTTGCACGGCCGTGGTGAATTTGCTGGAAATCGTAAGTTACGCCGAGTTTGGTTAAATGATCATGACCCCATTATTCTCAAAAATGTGCATGATATCTATAAAAATAATCGTGCTACTATGCCATATGCACCATATATACCACTTAATAGTAATAACGCTTCTAAACACAAGAAAATAAATACAGGTATTAGATTAGACAAAAGTTTGTATAATAGGGAAAAAAATGTAAGTTTGAGAAGTTATCATAACCTTCATAATGCTGAATTTAAGGAATTCAGCCCAGTTGCTGTTTTGTATCAAGCACTTCAGCCTCCTATAATTGATGGAATTCGAAAGCCATTAAAACCTGGAGGGTATAGTGATAGCGGAGCTGATATCGTCTATTCTTTGAGATCCAACAACATTCCTATAGTTACTCCTGTTGATAATCCTAGCCCAACATCTGATTTCGATTGGGTTTTTCCTGACACAGAAGAAGGAATAAGTACAGCCATTTCAAAAGGTGCAAAGACGCTTTGGGCAAATACTATTCTCTTCAATACTCATCCATTGAATTACATGAGCTTTAGGGAAGATATTAAGCTTGTTGGTCATCTTCCATCACATGTACACAAATATGATAACAAATGGTTTGCAAATGAATTAATCAAAAACACTGGAATTTCGGTTCCTCATGCAATTCTTATTGGAAGCTCTGCATATAATGGTGCATACCGATTGAATGATATAACCTTGGATATTTTAAATAAAAAAGGTATCCAATTCCCTGTTGTTGTTAAACCTATACGTGGCCGGGGAAGTCAAGGTGTTAAAAAGGTTAATTCTATTGAGCAAATGAAAGAGCATGCGGAAAAACTTCTGTCTACTAGAATTGTGATTGATGGTCAATATTTCTTTGAGTATGGTGATACTTTAATTCTTGAAGAATATTTGGAAGGAGAAGAGATAACAGCTACCATTATGCCTCCTGGAATATATGATATTAATTTTAAAAATGTCACCATTAATAAATATTGGCACTTACCGTTAGTAAAGAGATTTAATCACAATAATGGTATTGCTCCATATAGTGGAGTTGTTGCTGTAATTGAAAATAGCACTCTTATTAGCAACGAGGAAGCGCAGAATCCAATATATAAACAAGTCGCTCAGGATTGTGAAAAGGCTGCACAAATTATAAGACCATTAGCACCAATCCGTATAGACTGTCGTAGAATATCACCAGAAAAACCATTTGCTTTGTTTGATATAAATATGAAACCCAATATGACAGGACCTGGCCGCCCTAGACGCAATATGCAAAATAGCTTAAGCTGTATTGCTGCAAATGGCATAGGATGGAACTATCCAGACCTTCTTAAGGCTATGTTGCGCCAAGCATGGCTGATTAAGAAATTTATTAGGTACAGTAATTTTTTCAACATTCCTATTGAAAGGTTTGTAAATTTACTTACTTAGATATTGTTGAAATATAGATAGATACTTTAATAGATTAAGGTGACAGCACTGAAAGGCTTTACTGGATACCTCAATTCCATGTATTGTTTTTCTTTAAAACAAAATGGCTACAAATAAAATCAAATAAAACTTATTTTTGAAAAGGATATAACCGTGGTGATCATCTATATCTCAAAAAACGTACTAGGTAAACAAAGTCGGGTTCTAAGTAAAAAATGGTCAGAACCCCAAAAACCTAATCCTAAGTTTGAATTATTTTTTTTATATATAACTCTCATCTTAGGTAAAACATCTGAAAATAGGTAAAACTGGGTAAAATTAGATGTAACTTGATTTTATCTCTACCAAAATTAATATCTCATATGATGCAAACTTTAGTATAATAATTTTTAAAAGTTATGTGATTATTGCATTTAAAATTGACCAATAAAATTTCTAAATATTATGTAACTGCTGCAATTAAAATTGATAAATGGAATTTTTAAGTCATGTGACTACTGTATCTAAAATTGACTAATAGAATTTCTAAAGTTCTATTAGTCAATTTTAGGTACAACAGTCAAGTAACTTTTAAAATTTCATCTTATTGAAGTCTGCATTATTTGATATATTAATTTTGATAGAAATAAGATTAAGTTTCATTCAGTTTCAAACATTTTATCTAGTTTTGAACATTTCATCTAGTTTCAGATATTTTGTCCATTTTAGAAGTTTTATTCAATTTTGGATATTTTATCTAGTTTTAGATATTTCATCCAGTTTTAGATATTTCATCTAGTTTTAGATTTTAGGTAAAACTAAAACTCAAAGTTGAAACATTTTAGATTTCGGTAAAGAGTTTAGACTATAATACTAGTTTAGTTATAAATTTCTTTTTTGATACATTTAAGATTATGGTTTTTAAAAACATTAATAATTTGATTTATATAATACAATTTATACAATACAATTTATGCTATAAAAACTCTATTCTCATCACTCTTCCCGACGATCACTTAAACCAAACTAGCACCAAAACAGTTTGAAGAGTTATGTTTTTAAGTAAATAATATCTTTGATTCTG